AGGTGAGGCTTGATGTGAACAGGTGAGAATGATGAACAGGTGAGGTTTGATGAACAGGTGAGGTTTGATGAACAGGTGAGGTTTGATGAACAGGTGAGGTTTGATGAACAGGTGAGGAAACTGATGAACAGAGTGAGGGTTTGATGGTAGACAGGTGGGGTTTGATGAACAGGTGAGGCAGTAGACGGGTGAGGAAGCGTGGTTAGGTGAGGCTTGATGAACAGGTGAGGGGCTTGATGAACAGGTGAGGGAAGCGATGAACAGGTGGGGAAGCTTGATGAACAGGTGGGAAGCGATGAACAGTGAGTTTGATGAACAGGTGAGGCAGTGAAGACAGGTGAGGAAGCGATGAACAGTGAGGCTTGATGAACAGTTGAGGTTTGATGAACAGGTGGGGCTTGTTGATGAACGAGGTTTGATGAACGGTGAGGAAGCGATGAACAGGTGAGGTTTGATGAACAGGTGAGTTTGATGGTGGGTGAAACTTGATGAACAGGTGAGGCTTGATGAACAGGTGAGGCTTGATGAACGGTGGGGTTTGATGAACAGGTGGGGCGCTTGATGAACAGGTGAGGCTTGATGAACAGGTGGGAGACAGGTGAGGGCTTGATGAACAGGTGGGGTTTGATGAACAGGTGGGGGTTTGATGAAGACAGGTGAGGGCTTGATGTGAACAGGTGGGGCCTTGATGAACGGTGAGGGCAGTGAACAGGTGTGAGGAAGCGATGAACAGGTGAGGGCAGGAAGTGAGTGACCCAGAAAGGTGCAGCCTCATCAGCCTCCCCAGCCTCCCCAGCCCTCCCAGCCACTCCCAGCCTCTCTCCCATCCTTCTTGCCTTCTCCTCTCTGGCCCACTTTCTCTCAGCCACTTTCCCCTACATGCCCATCACTCCCCCTGGCCTTTGTCTCCCTAAACCACTGTTCTGGGGGTGAATAGAGGATTTTGGGCATGTTGTTGGTTGAGTGTTTATTTTACAATGACGTCACAGGAGGGGATGAAGTGGGGGTGGGAGAGGAGGTGAGAAAAGGAGGGTGATGGGATGAGAAGAAAGTAAAAATGACTACCACCATCCTTACTCCTTTCTCCCCCTCACCCACCCCCTCACCCTCCCCTCCCCTCACCTCCCCTCCCACCCCAACCATCCACTTTCCTGAGTAGTACCAGTAATGCTGTGAGTTAGTGTCCTTCGCCGGGAAAAGTTGAGTTAGTTCAGATGACATTATTTTAGTCTGTACCCACCTAGATGGGTAGGTAGATGGATGGGTGGGTAGATGAATAGATGAGTGGGTAGATGGATGGGTGGGTGGTTAGATGGATGAGTGGGTGGAGTAGATGGATAGATAGACATTAACGTATTCATTTCAATAATAAGGTTAATCACATGACACATTATCTGATCACGCCTTAACTCTTTGGCCTCCTGTCTGTCATCTGAAGGTGTGTGCGTGTGTGTGTGTCTGTGGAGGGTGTGGTGATAGTGGTGGTGTGGTGGTGTGGTGGTCGTAGTGTGGTGGTGGTGGTGGTGGTGGTGGTCGTAGTGTGGTGGTCGTAGTGTGGTGGTGGTGGTGAGGTGGTGGTGGTCGTAGTTAATTGGTCGTGGTGTGATGGTGGTGGTGGTGTGGTGGTGGTGGTGGTGGTGATTGGTCGTGTGGTGTGGTGGTCGTGGTGTGGTGGTGGTGGTGGTGGTGGTCGTAGTGTGGTGGTGGTCGTAGTGGTGTGGTGGTCGTAGTGTGGTGGTGGTCGTGGTGTGGTGTGGTGGTGTTGGTTTGTGTGGTGGTAGTGTGGTGGTGGTGGTCATGGTGTGGTGGTGGTCGTGGTGTGGTGGTCGTAATTAATTGGTGGTGGTGGTCGTAGTGTGGTGGTGGTGGTGGTCGTAGTGTGGTGGGGTCGTAGTGTGATGGTGGTGGTGGTGGTGGTGTGGTGGTGGTGGTGGTCGTGGTGTGGTGGTCGTGGTGTGGTGGTGTGTGGTGGTGGTGGTGTCGTGGTGTGATGGTGGTGGATGTGGTGTGGTGGTGGTGGTGGTGGTTATATTTGAAATGGGGAGAAGGTGGAGGGATGATGTGTGGGAGGAGAGGAAGGAGGAGGAGGTGGAGGCTACAGGCTCTACTTGCTACAGTAATTGGCCGGTGGAGGGATGGTCTAGGAGGGGGGTGGAGGGAAGGTGGGAGGGGTGGAGGGAGGGTACCACTCATCGGGGTGTAGGAATTTGTTGGAGATATTAAGTAAAACTCTCTCTCTCTCATTTCGTTTTACGTTATTTTTCCCTCGTTAAAGTAGAGTCTCAGTGAAGTCTTGACACCATTGTTATTATCTTGGCTATGCTGTTTCGTAACCAGGGGCCAGTTAGATACCTTTCTCTTATCTTCAGTTGAGGCCTCTAGAACAGCAGATATCAGGCAAGGTGTATGGGTCCCCAATCACCTCCTCGCCCTCACCGCCTCCTCCCCCATCCCTCCTCGCCCCCATCACCTCCCTCACCCCTCCTCACCCCTCCTCACCCCCACCGTTCATTCATAACCCCCGCTTGTTAGTGGTAATAGCCCCTGGAGGCCATCTACGTTTGGCCCTGGAATTTCAGACTCGTAAGTTAAATTTCTCTTAACTGGGATTGTGAGAAAGTCTCTTAACTGACTCACTTCACATAAAAGATCGGTTCTCAAAGGTACTTAACCTAACCTAACCTAACTGGTTCTCTTAAGACACAAAAAAGGGTGAACCAAGATGGCGCCCAAATTACACTGTGACTCTACCTTGACGAGATATATAATAATCTTATCTTCGGTTCAGATAAACAAGACAAAAGGGTTCGTATAAAGGATCCGCTCCCCAGATTATTTCACACCTGATTATTTACCACCCTAACGCTACCTGGGGTTGAGTTAGGTTAGGTTAGAACAAGTTAGGAATTGGTTAGATTTGGTTAGTGTTAAGTTAAGGGGGATTAGCCCACCCAGGCACAGGTCACTGTCCCACACCGGGGCCTGGGGGCGAGAAGCTAATAATAATGATAATAATAAATGATAGTAAATAAAAATAATAATAAAAAAGACAAAATTGAAAAAAAAATTAAAATAATAATGATGATAAATAATAATAATAATAACAAAGAATCACACAGAAATCTTAAGGCTAAATAAGCCCGGGTGACTAATGTTGTGTTCCGTACGATGGGTGAGGGTAGGCCGTCCACACCCGGATCCTGGACAGATTTTAATCAGCTTCCCTACACAACGGTCTGAGTAATTAAGGTGGGGTGGCTTTAAGTCCATCGTGGTCCACTGGATAAGCTCTGGTGGCTAGGGTTCGAACTCGGCAGCCAGTCAGAGGTGTAAATTGCTTACAGTGATTTACCTGTGTACAGTACATTACAGATTATGATATATCAGAGGTAAGTGTGCTTGGACCTGCTCCTAAAAGGCTTTACTTTCTCACTGTTCAAGACGTGGTGTTGTAGTGTGTGGCCACTATGTCTGACTGCACACTTTACATTTAGTTTTGTTCACATCATCATGAGAGACAAACTACTGGAGGTACAGTACAGGTACCCACACAGGTCTTGTTGCCTCTCCTCAACCAAGAACCACGAGATTCAGGCTCATTAATCCCAAGTATTTATGTGTGTTAAGAGGAAGTAGTGAGGATAAGGTGGCACTGGTGATGCGACGCGGTGTTGGTAAATTAATTTCAATTTAATTTTGTCACTTAAAGCGGCTAGTTTATTGCGCACCCGACACTCCTGTGAGCAGTAATGCAAAAGGATTACAGAATAGAGTTCAGGAGTGAGTACAGGAGTGTGAGGCAATATGTCTGGCCGCACACTTTGTTATTCACATCTGCGTGAGAGGTATTCAAGCACATTGTGTGTTTGGTTCTATACATGGGAACTGATGTAATGGAATGCAAAAAAGTGGCTACAATATGTCAGCTTGGTGGTGGAGGGGCGAAGGAGGGTGGCATTCTGTTGGGAGGGGGAGGGGTGGCTTCCTTCTGAGAGGGGATGACTTCCAGGGAGGGGGGAGGTGGCGGGGTGGCTTTTTTGAGTGAGGGGTGGCATTCTTGTACTGGTGCCTTTAAGTGGTGTCTGTCTGTCTTTTGTAAGTATTTATTTTAGTCTCTTTCTCTCCTAATTGGCCCCAGGAAATATATAATGAGTCCCGTACCGCTGGCCACACAAGGGTTGACCTAGTCATCATACAGTATAGAAAACCTAACCTAACCTTGAGTACTGTGACTTACCTCTTGAGTAGATCTATATATTTCTCAAATTCAGTTTTATTGCTGTTTTAGAATTTTGTGAGTAAATAAATTTGATTTTTATATCGAATAATCAGTAAAGATGATTTTTTATGGTAATTGGGTTTTATTTAATGATTAAAGGCGAAATATAGGTGTGTGTGTGTGTGTGTTTTACAGGGCAGATTAGCACAGTTTACAAGATCACCGTCAGAGTCCAGTCAGCCAGGCAGGAGAAACTACCGAGCCAACCTAACCACCGTCTGTACGACAACTGTGCCGGATGAACCCAACACTCCTCCTTACTCTGCCTCCTGTGTCTCCATGGTGGCAGTTATCGCCTCTCTGGTGACGAAAATAACATAAACAAAATCCCAGAGTCTTTCAGGATTTGGTGTAGAGGTTAGTATAGTTTAAAAACTCCAGTCATATCTGAGGTACCTCGCCTTCCTCGTCTGGTGTGGGGGGTTGAGGAACGGGGAGGAGGGGAAGGGGGGGGGGTTATAGGAGGGGCCAATACTCGTCTCGCATAGCTGCCAGACGGAGAAAGATTTGTACGACGGTTATTATTTCGCGTTTTAAAATAACTACTGCCGTTTTTAAATATTTTTATATAATTTGGTATAGTGTTTACCGTTATTTAAGAGCTTGATGTTAAAGAAAATGTGAATATTTTCATGACTCGTAACGTATGACAGTGTGGGCGTAATTCGGCACCAAAGGTAAGAATGACTTCAATGCCTCTGAGATAATGAGTTCAGTAGGGTTTGGCCCAGTGACGGACGTGTGTGGGGGAGACAGTGCCGCGTAAATTCCCACATTTCTAAGTGAAATTCCCGTGCCTTGATATCGGACATTATTTCGATTATCCAGAAAGTCACCGACAACAAAAGGTAAGTGAAAGGGAGTGTCGTGACCCCTACTGACGTGCTGCCGACATGCCCGAACCACCGACTTGTTGTTAAAGTTAGAAACCTGTTGACCTATTTTTGGGCGATACGACCTGACCGTAGGCTAAGACAGTGATGGCCGCCCCGTCATTACCCACCACCCCGGCCACTTCCTCCACATATACCCACCCTTAAAATAACCCCTTACCCCCCCCTTTAAAGCGATGTTAACTCACCCCTTAGAAAATTGGTCGACTTAGAACTTCTGGTTGAGAGAAAGTTAGTGCTGACGAATTCTCAGATAAAACTCATAGAACAATCATCTGTTCACCCGGCCAATATGTTTACTTGCTTGTTTGTAAGTCGATAAGGGTGTTTGGTGTTTGAGAGGTGGTATGATGTGGTGTAATAGATGGTACTGTGTTAATGTCCGTAGGATTTAACCTCACCAAACACCACATGTCAGTCTAATGAACATTAATTTAACACTATATTGATCTTAATCACACAACATTTAACCTTATATAACCCGACACCACCATATTTTAACCTAACATAAAGAGCCGTACGTAATTTAACCTTACGTAGATTAACCAAACGTAATTTAATGTTACTTACAGAAAACAAACATAATTTTAACCTTTCATGACTAGACATCGTACAATTTAACCTTATATACCAAACGTAATTTAACCTAACCCGTTATAAGCTTGTCTAATCTACTACAATCTAACGTAACATTATATAACCAAACAGACCTAGTACAACCTTACGTAGACTAACTTAACACAGCCTTACCAAACCTAACATAACCAAATCCAATTTTAACCTAGCCTAACGCAGCTTAACCTAACCATAACACAGTATATCCTAATGTAACTTAAAACTCCCTAAAAAACCTTAACTAACCCAACCTAAACTTAACGCAACTTAAACTAACGCAACGCTTCCTAACGCAATGTTGCTTCTAATGTAATCAATATAAGGGTTCCCTCGTGGCCTCGTCCGTCATTAGCTTTATAACCACTGTCCATTTTATAACATATAATCGAAGGGGGATTTAAATGGCCTTTTTGATAATTAAAGTTAGGGGATAAAACCCTTTAAGAACCATAGTTTAAGATACAAACCCTCAAGGGATTAAACCATCGTCCTCAAAGGGTTAAACAACATAACCTAACCTAACCTAACGTAACACAACCAAATTTCAACCTAACCTAACCTACCCTAACCTAACCTACCCTAACCTAACCTAACGTAACCTAACCAAATTTCAACCTAACCTAACCTATATAAGACTACCATAGACTCGGGTACTGTCATGAGGCGCCAACTTGGGGTAAACAGTATCGATAAACAAATAAATACCCCGTGTCAATTGGCGTTACTTTACGTGTGGCAAACAGTTTATTAATAGACGTGGTTGGTGAGTATATCCGTCTGTTTGTTTGTGGCTGAGATGTAAACAGATAAGTGAATGGTCAGTTTAGCTTCACCAGTGTTTGTTGTTTGTTTGTGGACGGGACTTGGGTGTTTGTTTTGGTGTGTGGAAGTAAGGAAGAGAGCAGTAAGATGTCTGTGAGGCAGGCCATTTGAACCTGACCTAACGAGAGCCGAACCTGACCTAACTTGACGTGAAACTAACCTGTCCTAATGTAACAAAACTTAACTTAACCGAACCGAACATTAGCTAACCTAACCAAACCTAACATAATCAAATCTAAATCTGACAACCTAACCAAACCTAACGTAACCAAGCCTAACGTAACCAAACCTAACGTAACCGAACTTAAACCTAACCGAACCTAAACATAGCCTAACCTAACCAAACCTAAACATAGCCAAAAATAACCTAACCAATCCTAAGGATAGTTCTGCTCATGGTCAGACAGGTTAGGTTAGGTTACATTTGTGGTCAGTTTATTTTAGTTATTTCTTATGGGGGTAAAGATTCAGTAGAATATAAACACGCTAACTTAACCTAACCAAACGACCCGAAATTAAGCTAACTTGACGTGAACCTAATCTAAACTTAACCAAATTATAGGTTTTTCTTGTGTGATTGATGGTGATTTAACAGAATATGACCTCTATGTTTAGTCATTACGGAGATGTGACCCGCCACCATGAAGGGGTAGAGAACACGTCCAGAACTGAATGAATCGAGACTAAGGATATCTGACCTAACTTGACCTGACCTGAAGTAACCTAACTTGACTTTACCTGACCTAACTTAACCGATCCAACTTTACTTAACCTAACCCTACTTGACCTAACCAATGGTAAACAGTAAATGCTCTCCCCCAAAATAAAACTTTCTGGTCCTAAGACACAAGAGCATCAAGTTACGTTCTGTCGTGCTATACAAAAATTAATATTGGTTCAGTGTTTGTACTTTACCGAGGTGTTTTATTTTAGTTTTATTTAGTTTTGTTGTAACACCATATTATTTTGTTTTGAGTGTTGAAGCAAACCAAAATGCGTGTGGAGGTTTAAGTAATTATCTAACAAATAAATACCGTAATTAACATGTTTTAATAAGTATGGGTATAATATTTAATATTATATGAATTTGACATTTGTTCTTCAATTTAGAGTAATTTTTGTACCAGCAGTTTCTCTGGGGTAAATAAATTAACATGTTGAAGTAAGTCAGGTTAACTATCCAGATGATAACATTTTGTCAATTAGTTTCCATTCATATTCGAGACATTTCCTGATAGGGTAGTTAGGTCGAGTAAACGAGCTCGTTAAGATAAGTAAATAAATTTCAGGTTAAATGTCGATGCTTGTTAGCTTTGACATGTTAACTTTAACCGCATGTTTGTGTTACATATTATGATTAGGTGAGTGTGTTAACATTAACCGCGTGTGTTTAAAGTTAACTAATACTCGTCTTCCTCCCTCCCTTCCCTGTTCTCTTTCCCTCCCACACTAGTAACTTGCCTTCTCTTCCACTTCCCCCCAATCCTCCTACCTCTTACTCTCTTTACCTCCTCTCCCTCTCCCCTCCTCTCCCTCTTACCTCCTCTTTTACCCTCCCTCCTACCTGCTCGACGTCTCCCTCCGCCACCTTCTCATAGGTCGACTTAGGAATTTAGTAATTTTCACCAGGTAGATTCTCTCTCTCTCTCTCTCTTTCTCTAACCGTTTTCATATCTGTCTCCAGCTGTGACGTTATCAGTGCTAGTTAACGACCTCCTTAGCTTGTTAGCTGGAAGCCCCGACGAGACGTTAGCTGGGTACGTCTGTGTTGCCAGCTAAGGGGTCAACGTCACCAGCTTTCTCCCTGATAGCTTTCTGTGTCGGCTAGGTTCGTGAAGTGCTGCTTTCTCTACCAGGCAAGAACTATAGCTTTAGCTTTATATAGTCAGCTAAAAGGTGTTTTTTTTCGTGTGTTATTTCTTAGTTTAAGCTGGCAATATTAACTTAATGGTAATTCATACTTTAGCTTCTTCCGACAACAGCTAGGATGGGTGAGTTGATGTTAGCTTTTTGCGATGGTTATAACAGAGAGAGAGAGAGAACTTTTTTATAGCTTAGGTCACCAGGACGCTTGGTAGCTTTCTCTATTACCGTGCGTCATTAATTCTAGCTTTCTCTTCCAAGCTAAAATCAGTCCTAAGACGTTGTAGCTTTCTTTTTTGGTAAGCTACGTTTCTGTCTGTTACCCCTACGTCTGTGCTACGAGATTAGCTTTCTTTTTCCAGCTAAGATTGCCAAGATAGCTTTTTTGCTTAGTTAAAGGCACCAATAAGTTAGGTTTCACTGTCAAGCTAAAGAAAGGAATTTAGCTTTCTTCTTCAGCTAAGGCTTCAGAACTGTAGCTTTCTCTTTTAAGTTCGACTCAATAACGTTAGTTTTACCACACGCGCTCACACACACACACACACACACACACACACACACACTCCCCAATTCCCCACCACCACCCCACCACCACTCCCCACTCACCTGACCACCACCCCTCCCTCCTCCCTCCCACACCACTCTCCCTCCCCCCTGGCACACACACTCACACCAACTCCCTCCCACTCACACACTCCCTCCCACTCACACACTCACTTCCCCTCACGCACACACACACACACATTCTGTCAGACACATTTACAAGCCGTGACATAACAACACTATTAAGTAGTTGAGTCGTTATCTAGGTGCGTAATGGCGTGAGTTCGTGGTGGGTTTTTTAAAGGCCTTTGGATATGAGGCTTTTGTACTGCCTGCCCCTCATTGCCCCAACCCCTTTCTCCTCCCTGTTTCTCCTTGTTTCTTCCCTCCCAGCTCCCACCCCCTGCTTCTCCCCCCTCCCCTGTTTCTCTCCCCCTCCTGCTCTCCCCTGTTTTCTCCTCCCTCCCCACCTGTGCTTCCCGCCCTGTCCAACTGTGTGTGTGATGAAAACTTGGTGAACTCTACTCGTCCAGTCAACTTTCAAGGAATTTCACGCCGCCCACATTACAAATACGCGGCCATTGCGGTGGAGTGCGGGGGACGATTGTGTGACCAGATGTGTATAGAGTAACTTCAGTGTCTGTCTGTCTGTCTGGTTGTTTTAAATTCAATCTTAGTGTTTGAGTGTCATAATATGTTTGTGTGTATGACTGTGAACATGGCGACCTGTGGTGCAATGGTCAGTATGCTCGCCTCGCAAGCAAGTGAACCCGGGTTTGATCCCCGGGCAGGTGAAACTATGGGCAAGTTTCTTTACACCATTTGCCTCTGTCTACCCAGCAGTAATTGGGAACCTGGATGTTAATTGATTTGCGGATCGTGTTCCAGGGTAATGGTTAGCCAGTGCAGTTGTCGAGTTGCCCGGTCTTCTCGGACTATTCCTTGACACTGGGTCATGCAGCTCGTTAACTCAGGGTGTGGTTGTTGTGTTGGCGACAGCGTCTACACCTTAAACAAATTCACGCCGAGGTGGCCCTTGGGCCAGCCATCCTCGTACACGAGGGACAACCATTATTATTATTATGGCTGTGAACTCGTAAACGTGCAAGCGC